TTGTGTGTGATATATTCTGTGTATTGTTTAATTGAGTTTCAATTTGAACTTCCTTTGGTTGAATGCAAGAGACCTCTCTAACCACCATGCTTCACAGGTCATTGCCATGAAAGCTCCTGTAGACACAGTAACCAGAAACACAACCAGTCTACCAGAGGAAAATGGGACCCCACAGCATCCCATGGCTTCATCTGAGGGTTCTGGCCCTCTGGAAGGAGAGCAAGGAGGGACACCCCAGACAAACGCATTAAAAAGCCCCACCTTACCACATTGCTGCTGTCATGTCAAGCATGCAGCGGACTTCCAAGAGGCGAGTGTTGAGTGTCTTCTTCACAGGAACAAATGCACAGGGAGGGCTGGTCTAACTGTCAAGATCTGCCAGGCTCACAGCAGGTATGACAGGTCTTATTTTGATATTGTATTATTGGTCAGAGGAAAGTATTCAAGTGCATTTTGACATTTTTGTGTGTATATGGTGCAAAAGAAATAATTGTAGAATGAAATATGTTTTACATTTCAAGTGTTTTTGTAAGGCTGTTTAGCCTACTTTATTCTGATTTGTATGTAGAGAGGAAGAGGTAGTGAAAAGGTGAATTTGTTGTTTTACAGCCATTAACTGTGTCATCAACCACTGCCATTGGTGAGGATGAAAACAATGACACGAGTAGTTCCAGTGACAGTGGCTATGGTAATGGAAATCATCAAGTCAGCAAAGTAAGTTTTCCGATAACTTACCTGTGCACTAGTCAGAACTATAGTGTTGTTACAATGAATTGTGAATAACACACTTTGCACTCTTTATTTAATTTTCATTATTATTATTATTATTATTATTATTATTATTATTATTATTATTATTATTATTATTTTCCAGAATGTATTTACATTATTTGAGGATGATGTTAAATTTTGTGAAATTTAAAGTTTATATTGATTTTTGATTTATTATTAATAATTTTTTTTTTTTTCACAAAGCTGCCGAAGAACAGCAGTGCAGTGATTTCCTGTTCAAACTCACCATCCTCACACAGAATCTGACAGATTCCAGCATCACCATGCCCTCCACCCCACCCTCACCTTTGGGAGTGCAGGATCAGCTGCACCATCCTCAAAATCCTTCATGGTTGCCACTTCCACGAGGCCCCCAAGTACCCATTGTGCCCATCACCACCACAGGGTCTCTTCCATCAGACCGCCACTCATATGCTGCTCCACAGCATACCTCCTCACCACTTGTGCAAGCCTCTATGGGACAACATATATATATTCTTCAGGCCATTTTGTCATATTCACAAAAAATGCCAGACTAACCACTACTATGACTAATGCTCGCCAGCCTCCATTGCGGCAGGGCAGCAGCTGCGAGAACCAGAATAGTGGCTCTGTGCAGCGGCCTGGGTCTTTGGCTCTCGGCACGCTAGCAGAATTCAGCACTTCTGAACCGGCTGCCTAGAGACCATCGACCAGGGTCTTTGGCAGCACCCATCAATACTGTTGGAATCCCACCTGCTCCAACAAGGCTGTGTCTCACATGGGATTGAATGTCTCTAGTCCAACAAGGGCACGTGATCCCACCATGTTCAGGAGTCAAGATTTGTCGCGAGCTGGACGCGGATTGTCTGTAGCAGAGGAGCGTTTCAGTGGAACTGCTGGTGCTCGTCAGGAGAGTAATGGTCTTGTCTCCATCATTGACCAGGTGATTAATCTTTGTGAAGTTGGGACTCGTGTGATTAGTGAAGAGGTGGGATATAGGCACTTTCAAATTGTAGTGTATCTATTTGTTTTTTACATCAAAAAGATATTTCACAATGAGATTTTAAGAGTAATAAACAGAAGTATAGGTCCAAAGAAGTCAGTAGAACTTAATAAAATTACCAGTGTTGCTGCCTATTAGAATTTTTTACATCAATCTAATTTACTTCATTTTTCAGGTAACAAGCAGTTTGCTGGAACATGGCGATAGTCCCCCTCCCAAGACTCCAGTGACTCCTAGTGCTCCTTCTTCGACTTTTCCTACCACTTCACCCACAATAGCAACACCTCCATCCAAACTGGCAGGCACCCAAGTCACCAGTGATAGGATACCCTTATCAGCATCTGAGTCTACAACATCAGAATCCTATGTGACTAGTGATACAAGTGGCAGGTCCTCCCTCTCTTATCAACGTGGTGTGGGTTCATCCCTGACCAGCAGTGGTGGACTCACCAACTTCACTCAAGACCAACCTCGTGGTGAGGTTTTGCATCCAACTCCACATCGACCACATGTTATCTCTCCTTCAGGCTCCAGACATGGATTAGACTCTCTGCAAGACCCCAGTGTGGGTACTCCAGATAAGGTAGCAATGGGAGTCTCTCAGCATATTGAGGCTGGGACTTCCCTCCCAGAACAGCACCTAAGCCTCAGTCAAGAATCCCAGCACTCAATCCAGAAGTTATCCAGCTGTTACACTGGTAAAGCAAATCATAAGACAAGCTTTGACTCTCATGCTAGTCACAGTCCTGCTCAGATGACAGAATCTCGTATACCCACTTTAGGCAACATTGGCCGTTCTCCCAGTAACTTAACCAGTGAAAGATCAAATGAGAGTCATGTCTTACCTGAGTCAAGAATACCAACCCTTGGTGCCATGGGAAGAAGTCCAAGCAGTCTCAATCATGAAAGTAAGGCAGAAAGTAGAATTCCAACTCTTAATAACATGGGACATAGTTCCTCCAACTTACTACATGATAAGCAGACTTCAGGAGAATCACGAATACCCACTCTTGGAAGCACAGGGAGAAGTCAAAGCAACCTTGGTCATGAAGCACCAACTACGCAGAGTCTCGTATTCCAACAATAAGTGCAGTGGGTAGAACATCTAGTAACTTGACACGTGAATCCATTGGGTTGAAAAAGCCAGCCAGCTCACATGAAGGAGTCACAAAACCTGCATCAAATCTTAACACACCACAGCAGCTTAGAACTGCTGGGATGAATGGATCAGGTATTCCAAGTTTAGCCTCACAGGGGAGAAGCAGTAGCAGCTTAGGATCAGGCATCCCAAGTCCAAGTCCAACTTCTACAGGGTTAAGAACTGGCATCCCCAAACATGATGCAACAGATGGGCTAACCAAGAAGTCATTGGTGTATGGAGGAACAAGCCAAGTGTCCTCCACATCTCGCCTCCAGTCCCAAGTTATTCAAGTGGTATTAGGCCCCTGCCTATTCATCGGCTAGTCCTCTGCCCAGTCCAGCCCAGCACCCATCAAGCAATTTTACCCAGTCCCCAGGTTATTCATCTGGCATCCGACCACCCTCTATCAATTCGGCAATTAACACCCCAGGTATCCCACTGCCTTCTTCAGGATCAACAAGCCACCTGACCAATCCAGGGTCAAGAGGGTCAATCACATCAACAGGATCTGGTACTCGTATTCCAATGGTTGCAGGTGTGTAGAGTTTTGGGGTTTCTTTAAAGTTGCCAAGTAGAGTTTAGTGTGAAAAGTTTATATTTATGGGTTTAAAATTTGATACTGGTCTTCTAATTTTTAATTGATTTTTGAAACTTTATAGACTTACATAACTTCATTACTTGTTTGTATGTTTATTTATATTATTATTATTATGATATTTAGGGAGAGTATAGCTTCTTTTAATATATTTTTTGTAACAGGAAATTCTGCATCAAGACTCCCTGCACCTAATGCCAACAAGCACCGTGTGTCTCCATCAGCACAAAATGCAGATAACAAAACAAACAATTCAGCGTGGATGTTTGGCCAGCACAAAAATGCCCGTGTGGTATGTCAGAATGTACGTACGCTGGACTAACACAATAACAGTGAGGATACTGCGAAGCTTTCTTTTTCTTAGATAGGAGCAGTATTCCTCTTTGTTTTATATATATATATATATATAGTGTTTGATAAGAAAGATGCATATCTAACCAATGACTTGTATTCCAGTTTGCTAGTGCATATGATACTGACAAAATTGCTTCTTAAATGCCAGCAGTTTGAGCTAACTATCTTTAAGGCTAACATGCCTGACATGCTGACTTGGTGCTAAAAGCTATTAATAGCATTTATAAGTTCAAGCTTCTAGCTCATCAACTTGTCATAGAGCTGCCGCTGGCCAATTTTATAACCAAGATATATTTTTTTCCTTAGATTTTTGTTCACTTAAAAGAGCTGCTGTAGTAGGCAGTTGAAAAGTGTTATAAGATACAGATTCAGGAAGAATGAGTTTTAACAATTGAATCAAATCCAGTGAGTAGAAATTCTACTAATACTGAAGTAGTTGGTGTTTTCTGCAATGGATAAACCACATTGTTATTGATAGGATTGAGATGTTCAGGGAATTGTTTTGCCATTATGTTACATCTCTTTCAGTTAATGGATGTTATGTTGTACTAAACTAAAGGGTTATCAGAAATAGGATGATAATTACAAACTATTCTGCAAGCATGATAAAGAGTTGGAGCAGAGGGGAAAGAATGAGAGAAAAAGAAAGGAGAAAATGAGATAACAGTGGACAAAAACATGAATAGAGAGAAAAATGTATTGGAGTGTAATAAATGATAAAACAGGAATAAAGAGGGAATATATTGGAATAAGAAAAGTGGGAAATTGCAGTTGATTATAAAGAAAGAGCATTAGGGAGAAGCAATTTAAATGAAGGGAAATAAGGAGAGATGGTAGAGGAAAGTGGAGGTCAATTTTTTTAGCATATAGTTGTGTGTTTGTGTGTGTAAACTCGTATGCATTTGTAGATGTTTGTGATGTGGATGAACAGTGAAATATCTCAGCTATTAGTTTTTGAGGATTTCTTAAGCA